ACACACTGTCAATCAGTCGGAGACACACACTCTCAGACACGTGGACACAGAGTTGAACTGACACATTTTTGCTTCTGAGGCAATTATTTGGATGAAATTATTTGGATTGGATTTCCGATCAGAGGGAAGTCGCCCATTCTGGTATCAGTGAGGGTGTTTGGGAGCTGGGAGATTCCTGGCCAATAACAGCAGGAATGGAGCAATAATAACAAACAGAAGGAACAGGAAACATTCGGAGCAAACCCAGTGCAAGCCTGCAGCATCCTGGCGGCAGGAAACTTCCTGATCCCGATCCCGATCCGGAGTGAGTCCCGGTGCCTGGCTCCGGGAGAGACAGCCCTCTGTCTCCCAGCCCCATGCAAGGGGCCAAGGCCATTCCGGCCACAGGCTGCAGCCTAGCCCAGCAGTGATGGCCCGGGTCTGGTTGCCGGTGGTGTTGCTGCTGGTCAGCCCGGGGCTAGCTCCCGGAGTCCAGGGAAAGCTCAGGAAATGGGAGCAGCTGGAAGCTGTGAAAAGGAGCATTCTGGATTCCCTGGGACTGGCGCAGCCGCCGCTCATCCGCCACCGAGCGAGCAAAGAGGAGGAACAGCACATGCTCCGGCTCTTCCTTCGCCAGCACAGCTACATCTACAGCCACCTGAACCGCTCCGCCGGCTCCCGGAGCTCCGTCCAGCGGCGGATCCCTATCATGGGTGAGTGCCCCGGCCCCGGCCCCGGCCCCGGGGGACAGGGTCTAGGCGTCAGAAAGTTACCCTGACCTTGGGGGGGAATAACGTGTGAGCTAGGGTGTGTGGGGCTGTGTGTGTGTGTGAGCACGACCAAGGTTGTATGAGAGAGAGAGACTGTGTTCACAAACAGTTTGTGTCAGTGAGAGACCCGAGTGTGAGGGGCAGTGTGTGTGAGAGAATGATTCTGGTAAACTAATGTACAACAGAGTGAGAAAGTGAAGCTCCCAGATGACTTGAGAATAGCCAATGCTGTCCCATTGTTTAAGAAGGGTAGCAGGGATAATCCAGGAAATTACAGGCCTGTCAGTCTCACGTCGGTGCTAGGGACATTATTGGAAAAGATTCTCCAGGACAAGATCTATAGGCATTTCGAAGCAAATGGACTTATTAGTGATAGCATGGTTTTGTGTGGGGGAGGTCATGCCTTACTAACTTAACTGAGTTTTTTGAGGAGGTGACAAAGATGATTGAGGGATAAGTGGTGGATGTTGTCTACATGGACTTCAGTAAAGCCTTTGACAAGGTCGCTCATGGCAGACTGTACAAAAGGTGAAGTCACATGGTATCAGGGTGAGCTAGCAAGATGGATACAGAACTGTCTTAGTCACAGGAGACAGAGGGTAGTGGTGGAAGGATGCTTTTCAGAATGGGGGGTTGTGACTACCTCTGTTGTTCATGATCTACATAAATGATTTGGAGGAAAACGTAGCTGGTCTAATTAGTAAGTTTGTGGATGATACAAAGATTGGAGGAGTTGCAGGTAGTGAGGATGATTGTCAGGGGATACAGCAGGACATGTGTCAGTTGGAGCCATGGGCAGAAAAGTGGCAGATGGAGTTTGATCCAGACAAATGTGAGGTGATGCATTTTGGAAGGTCAAGTGCAGATGGAAATTTTACAGTGAATGGCAGAACCCTTAGAAGATTGATCTGGATGTGCAGCTCACAGATCACTGAAGGTGGCAGAGCAGGTAGATAAGGCAGTAAAAAGGCCTATGGCATGTTTGCCTTCATTGGAAGGGCCATTGAGTATAATTATAGACAAGTTATGCTGCAGCATTATTGAACTTTAGTGAGGCCACACTTGGAATATTGCAATCAGTTCCACGCTACCAGATGGAATTTGGATATTTTGGAGACGGTACAGAAAAGGTTTACCAGGATATTGCCTGGTATGGGGGAATTTAGCTCTGAAGAAAGGTTCGATACATTGGGTTTGTTTTCACTGGAACACTGGAGGTTGAGGGGCAACCTGACAGAAGTTTATAAGAACTTGAAAGGCATGGATAGAGTGGAAAGTATGAGGCTTTTTTCCCTAGGGTGGAGGGGTCAATTACTAGGGGACGCAGGTTCAAGGTGTGATGGGGAGATGGTTAAAAGAGATGTGCAAAGCAAATTTTTCTCACAAAGGGTGGTGAGCAGAGAAGGTGGTGGAAGCAGACATAATAGCAACGTTCAAGAAGCATCTGGATGGATACATGAATAGGAAGGGAATAGAGGGATACGGATCCTGTAAGTGAAGACAGATTAGTATGGAAAGCAAAATGTGTCAGTGCAGCCTTGGAGGGCTGAAGGGTCTGTTCCTGTGCTGTTTTGTTCTTTGTTTTTTGTTCGGTTTTGTGAAAGTTGACTGTGACAAGCCATGAGGCAGTGAGAAAACATGAATGTGAGTGTAACAGAGTTGTACAGTATTTCCCAAACTGGGGGCCGGGATCTCTACTGGGAACATGAGCTGAAGATTTGGAGTCATGAACTGCAAGGAAACACTTTCTGCAATGGAGCTTTGTCTTTTTCTGTCTTTTTATCATTCACTTGTGGGATGTGGGCATCATTGGCTGGGCCCAGCATTTATTTCCTATCCCTAGTTACCCTTGAGAAGGTGGTGGTGAGCTGCCTTCTTGAATTGCTGCAGTCAGTATGCTGTAGGTAAATCTACAATGTCATTAGGGAGGGAATTTGAGGATTTTGATAGAGCGACAGTGAAGGAACAGTGATATATTTGCAAGTCAGGATGATGAATGGCTTGGATGGGAACTTCCAGGTGATGCAGTTGGATAGATGAGTGTCTGGATGGGTGCGGCTCCAAAATCACTCAAGAAGCATGACGCCATCCAGGAGAAAGAAGCCCCCACTTGATTGACACCACATCCACAATCATCCACTCCCTCTACCACCGATGCTTAGTAGCAGCAGTGTGTACTATCTACAGAAATTCATCAAAGATCCTTAGACAGCGCCTTCCAAACCTACAACCACTTCCATCTAAAAAGTAAAGTTGCCATTGTCATCACACCTCAGGTGAGGGGACAGGCTGAGGAGGAGAATTCTTCATGATAACCTCAGCCAATGCAGGAATTGGACAGCCACTATTGGTATTACTAACCAGCTGTGCAGGCAACTGAGTGAAACTAACCCAGCAGCAGATACATGGGAACCCCACCCCCTGCAAGTTCCTCTCCAAGCCACTTATCATCCTGACTTGGAAATACGTTGCCATTCCTTCACTGTCACTGGGTCAGAATCCTGGAATTCCCTCCCTCAGGGCATTGTGGGTCAACCCACAGCACATGGACTGCAGCGGTTCACAAAGGCAGCTCACCCCCACCTTCTCCAGGGACAACTAGGGATGGGAAGTAAATGCTGGTCCAGCCAGCAACACTCGCATTCCATGAATGAGTTTTTAAAAAAAATGTGTGCAGGAGTGTGTAGGAGTCAATGAGTATGAGAGTGAATGAGAATAACAGCTAGGTTTGTGTGAATCTGAGAGATAGTGAATACATTCTCTGAGTGACTGTGTGAAACTGAAACACTAAATGTGAGCTTGTGAGCCTGAGTGAAAAAGATAACTCAGAGTGAGTGGAAAAGGGAATGTGACTCACCATGTGATTAAGTGAGTGTGTGAATGTCTGAGCAAGTGAGTGAGAGAGTGAATGAAAGAGCGAGTGTATAATTGAGAGTAAGTGAAGAATGAGTGAATTAATGACAGAGTGAGGTGAGTGAGTTAGTGAGAGGGAGAATGAGTGAGTGAGTGCCGCTGAGTTGAAGCTGGAGCTGCCATCGTAGAAACCTCACAATGATAAATGTGCAGGTTATTGACTTCATTAATACTGTCTCCTCAGGCTTGCTGAAATTTTCTGTGTCCCCTCACTCCCCTGTCCTGGAAGGAGTACATTGTTCAGAATAACCTGATCTGATGCCTTATCAACATTGGAGGTGCTTTGCAGAGTCAGGAAATGAGCTAGTTGTTACAGAATCTCCCCCTGTCCAATGGAGTAATACTGTGGGCCATAGAATGCTGAGAGCAGCAGCATGTTTACTGATAACAATGCTCATAGCCTGAGTATCATCTGGTGCCAGTATTCCCTGTAAAAGCTGGGATATTATCCTGCTGTTAATGAACTTGACTCTGGCTACTGTTTGTCTGTATTCCCTCGAGTTACTTTTACACCTAATTATTCTTCCCACAGTCGAAACACCCAGTTACAGCGGAGTGACTACACAAGAAGAGGGACAGTTTGCTGGGAAGTTCACCCTTGGTATTGCCAGGTCTAAGCTCCTTCACCCGGGTTTAAAGGTGGTTCGTGCTGAATTAAAATTTCACAAACGTCTCCAAACTACCCAGCATCTTGAAAAGTTAAATTGCAGTTTTCGAAGGCAGGTGAATGTTTACAGGATATTGGAGAGCAGGAATCCAGGTGGAGAACAGTTACAGCTGATCGATTCCAGTGTCATACACTCTGGGCCCATCACTACGTTCACTCTCAATGTTCAACCACTTATTCAGCTCTGGGTAGACAGTGGACTGCAGCAAATCCGAATGCAGCTCGAACTATACCCACTTCAGCCTGACATGCTGCTGCTGAGCTTAACCACAGATTTGAACAAGGATCTGAGATTGGAAATTGAGACTGAGGAAGTACAAAGTATAAGGAGAGCACGACGAGCAACAAGTTCAACTGAGGATTGTCTCAGGAGACAGAAGAACTGCTGCAGAAAGTCTTTGCTGGTGTCATTTAAAGAGATTGGGTGGAATGATTGGATCAGAGCACCAGAGTCCTACAACATGTATAACTGTGTTGGATCCTGCCATGCCAATTACAAACCAGCCAACATGCATGCCATGATTAAATCTGCCATGCACAAGCTCTCTGGTGGAGCCAGACCAGCACTGTGCTGCAATCCTGCTGCCTATGAACCTATGACACTGCTACACTATAGCAGCGAGGGCAAGCTCACACTCACAGCCTTTGATGACATGATTGTCACCAATTGTCACTGCTCCTGATATCACTGCCCACCCCTGTGATCCGCACTGCCCAGTCACTTATCAGTGTTTATATTTTCCATTTAAGATTATTATTGGTAACCTGTCAGCATGGATAGAAGATTGGATGGCTGGTAGATTAGAGACGATATCTGAATGAATCTTTTTCAGGTTGGCAGGACGTGCCAAGTGGAATACCACAGGGGAATGTGGCGGTCCCTCAGTGTTTTTTGTAGCTGATTTAATTGAGGGGAATGAAGGCTTGGTGGCTGAGTTTTCAAATGACACAAAATAGTTGGGAAAATCTGTTGTGAAGGGGATATAACAAGGATGGAGACTGATGCAGATACATTGAGCAATTGGGCAAAACTCTGGCAGATGGAGTATACTATGCAAACTTGTAAAGTCATTTACTTTGCAGAAAGGGTAAAATTATCGAGTATTACTTAACAATGCCAAAGTGAACAACTTAACAATTTCCCAAGTTATACTTCAGCTACCAGGGCTTTGCCCGCTTACATTGAGCGTCCAGCACAGACACCTGTGGGATCCCACTCATCAGTCATACTCAATGAACTCCAAGAACACAAGAACATCAGAACTAGGAGCAGGAGTAGGCCGTCTGGCCCTTCGAGCCTGCTCCGCCATTCAATAAGATCATGGCTGATCCTTTCATGAACTCAGATCCACTTACCCGCGTTCTCACCGTATCCCTTAATTCCTTTATTGTTCAAAAAAAATCTACCTTTTTTTTGAAAGGGCTAACTGAAGTAGCATCAACTACTTCACTGGGCAAGGAATTCCATAGATTAACAACCCTCTGGGTGAAGAAATTCCTTCTCAGTTCAGTCCTAAATCTGCTCCCTCTAATCTTGAGGCCGTGCCCTCTTGTCCTAGCTTCACCTGCCAGTGGAAACATCCTCTCTACTTCTATCTTATCTATTCCCTTCATAATTTTATATGTTTCTATAAGATCCCCCCTCAATCTTCTGAATTCCAATGAATATAATCCCAATCTACTCAGTCCCTCCTCATAAGCCAACTCCCTCAACTCCGGAATCAACCTAGTGAACCTCCTTTGCACCCCCTCCAGTGCCAGTACATCCTTTCTCAAGTAAGGAGACCAAAACTGCACACAGTACTCCAGGTGTGGCCTCATCAGCACCTTGTACAGCTGCAACATAACCTCTCTGCTTTTAATCTCAATCCCTTTAGCAATGAAGGACAAAATTCCATTTGCCTTCCTAATTACTTGTTGTACCTGCAGACCTACCTTCTGTGATTCAAGGGGAGATTAATTAATGATTCTCCATGGGCTTTGTAGGGTTTATCACAACATCCTTTTTTTTCTGCCAACTGGTCAATCTTCAAGCCATGCTGGTTTGTTACTCCCTACACAACGAGCTCCTAATTTGCACAATGACCTTTTATGTGGCACCTTGTCCAATGCTTTCTGAAAATCCAAGTACAATGTATCAATGGGTTCCTTTCTGTCTACTGTACATGTTACTCCTTCAAATAATTCCAAGAATCAGCTAAACACAATTGCCATTCGACAAAACCATACTGAATCTTCTCAATAATCTTAAGACTTTCCAAATGTACAGTTATAACCTGCTATTGATCAATTCTAATACCTTACACATGACAGACATCACGCTTACTGGTCCACAGGCTCCTGTTTTCTGCCTTCCTTCTTGAATAGAGGAGTTACATTTGCTACTTTCCAGTCTGGCGGATCCTTGCCTGAATCGAGAGGATTTTTTAAAACTAAGATTGACATCTCTACTACCTCATTAACAACGTCTTTGAAGATTCTATGGTGAAGTCCATCAGGCCTCAGAGACGCATTAAACTGTAGTTCCACCAGTTTGTTTTGTATAACTTCCCTAATGATCACTTCACAACGTTCCTCTCTTGCTTCACCCTCCAGCTTTACAGTATTACTGGGACATTGTTTGCATCTTAAATTGTGAAGACAGGAGCAACATTTTATTCATTATGCACACCTTTTCTCTATCATTAACTCCAAGTCCTCACCCTTCAGAGGGTCAACACTCATGGTGCTTACTTCTTTTTAGACACCTATAGAAACTCTTGCTGTCTGTTTTCAATTTCTAGCTTCCTTTCATGCCCTAATTTATTTGACTTGATTAAAATTTTTATTCAGTCTCATTCAGTCTTAGTATTCTGACCAATCTTTTGACCTGCCACTCATCTTTGCATAGTTATACATGTTGTCTTTATATTTTGATGTTTTCCCTCACTTCTTTAGTTAATCATGGATATTGGCTTCTTCCTTGGAATTTTCCTTTGCAGCAGGAATGAACTTATTCTGATTTTTCTGAAATACCACTTAATTATCTGCCACTACTTCTCCACTGATCCTGTTCTAATGTCTCAGTTCATTTCAGGTAGCTCACAGCTACATAGTGGCCTTTGTTTAAGTTTAAAATATTTGCCTTAGACTCACTCTCCCCTTTTTTCAAACTGGATTAAAATTCAATCACATTCTAATTGTTGCTGTCTAGAGGTGCCTTTACTCTGAGCTCAGTAATTTTGCTGTAAGAAACCATCTTGAAAGCATTCTATAAACTGTTACTGCTACTATGAGGCTATCATTACCTATAGGATTCTTCCAGTTTGTGACCATTAAAATTACCTGTGATTATTGCCACCCATTTATCACAAGCGCCCAGTATTTCATCTTACATCATGGTTACTATCGGGGCCTATAGAAGACTCCCAATAGTGACAGCTTTCCCTTAATATTCCTCAATCTCCACCAAACCAATTCTACATCCTGATCTTCTGGTCCAAGGTCAGGTGTATATATTGGACAAATGCCTTCCTTGATTAACAGTGCTACCCCTCCATCTTTACCAGGCTCCCTATTCTTCTCGAATATCATAAACTCTTCAATTTTCAGAATTCAAACCATGTATCCTGCAGTTATGTCTCTGTGTTGGCTATCAGATTGTATTCATTCATAACTTCAATGTGCATTATCAATTCATTTACTTTGTTACGAATGTTACAGACATTCAGATAAACAGACTTCATTTTTTTTGATATTTTGGACGTAAAAAGGGAACAGTTGGGTAAAACGAATGTGGGTTCATTAAAGGCAGAGTCAGAAGAATTTATAAGGGGGAATAGAGAAATGGCAGTGTAGCTAAATCATTAGTTTGTTTGTGCTCACTGAGGAAGATATAAGAAATATCTCAGAACTAGAGATCCTAGTAGCTAGGGAAAATAAAGAGTTGAAGGAAATTGGTACAAGTAAGAGAATTGTACTGGACAAATTAATGGGACTGAAAATGATAAGTTTCTGGGATCTAATGGTGTACATCCAAGAGTGTTACAGAGTGGCTACAGAGATAGTTGTTGCTTTGGTGTTAGACTCCATGAACTCTATAGATTCAGGATAAGGTATCAAACGTCACCCCATGATTTAAGAGAGAAGCAAGAGAGAAAACAGGGAACTATACACTCACACAACAGAAGCAGGGATAATGCTAGAATTTGTTATAAAGGATAAATGGATATTTGGATAAAAACAATCTGATTGAGCATAGTCAGCATGAAATTGCAAATGGGAAATCATGTTTAACAAATGCGTTAGAGCTTTTGGAGAATGTAACTAACAGAATAGATAAAGGGGAGTCAATTGATGGAGTATATTTCGATTTTCAAAAAGGTTTTGACGAAATCCCAACATGAGGTTTGTCAGCAAAAGTTAAAGCGCATGGGCTCAGAGGTGATGTACTGGCATGGATTAATAATTGGCTAACAGACAGAAAGCAGAGAGAAGGAATAGTTATATCACTCTCACATCAACAGGCTGGGACTAGTGAGCTACCACATGGAGCTGGACTTGGGACTCAGCTGTTCACAATGTATACATCAAAGATTTGGAGGTGAGACCAAATGTAGTATTTCCAAATTTGTGGGTGATACAAAGTGAATCAAGAATGTAAGGTTATCTGTTCTGAAAGGAATAACAGATGTGCAGTGTATTTCTTAAATGTTAAGAAGCTGGAAACTGTAGATGTACAAGGAAGCCTAGGGGTATCCTTTTCAATAACTCACTGAAGGCTAACAGACAGGTGCAGCAAGCTATTAGGAAGGTTAATGAATGTTAGCTTTTATTGTAAGAGGATTTGAGTATGAGAATTGTGAAGTCTTGTTTCAATTGTACAGGAGCTTGGTTAGACTGCACTGAAGTACTGTGCAGAGTTTTGGTCTCCTTCTCTCAGGAAAAATATTATTGCCACAGAGGGAACATAGTGAAAGCTTGTCAGACTGGTTCCTGGGATAGTGGGACTATCCCATGAAGAGAGATTTGACAAACGGGGTCTGTATTCTCAAGTTTCAAAGAATGCAAAGTGATCCTATTGAAATGTACAAAATACTGAAAGGGATAGACAATGTAGATGCAGGTGATATGTTTCCCTGGTTGGGGAGTATAGAACCAGGGAGCACAACGTAAAAATAAGGGAGATGCCACTTAGGACTGAAATGAGGTGAGTTTTTAAACAGAGGATGGTGAATCGTTGGAATTTTCTAACAGAGGACTTTGGAAGTTCAGTCTAGGAGTATGTTTAAGGTAGAGATCGATAGATTTCTGATTATTGGTGGCCTAAAAGGTTAAGCTACTAGTATGAGTGAAAGACATTGATATGGCAGGATTGTATTAAATGATGGAGTAGGCTCAATGGCCTACTCATATTCCTATATTATTTTGTAGCATCACATTTTGAATGCTGTTCTATTCTTAGGTCTTTTCTTTCTTTCTGTTCTTTCCTACTAATTTCTGACCTTTATTTCCAGATTAGCATTTTTGTTCCATGCCTCAAATCCATCCTTTGTTTTGTTGATTTACCTAAGCTTGACCCTCAACCCCATTGTTTAGTTTAATGCCTTCTCTACTTCCTTAGATTTGCAGTTTACAAAATCACCAGCCTCAGCACAGTTCAGGTGTAATCTGTCCCAACTATATAGATCCCATTTTCCCCAGT